TATATAAGAAATCAAGTTTTATGAAAATTTTGATGTGCTGAGAGTTCATATACTGGTTATAATCGTTGAGAAATATATATGGTCCTTAAGATGAATTTATGCAAATTTTGTTTATCAAATCAATTCGATATAATTATAGGTGTTCTTCAATAGTTTTTCATCGTTGCTTTCTTCATACTTAAAAATAATTCCGCTTTTCTTAAATCTAGGTCATTTCTTGATTATTTGATGTTCCAAGTCATGTTCCTGCTGTTCCAAAAGATGTTCTCTATGAAACATACAGAGTATCATACTGTGCAATTTTTTTGGAAAGTTCTACGTTATTATTCACTTGTTCTTTGGCACAGAATTGAGCACAATGAAATATCAAATAGTCAAGAAATGACCTAGATTTAAGAAAAGTGGAACCATTTTTCAGTATGAAGAAAGCAACGATGAAAAACTATTGAAGAACACCTATAACTTTATCGAATAGAGTTGATAAACAAAATTTGCATAAGTTTATCTTAGGAACCATATATATTTCTCAACGATTATAATCAGTATACGAACCCTCAATACATCAAAATTTCCATGAAACTTCATTTTTTTAAATACTATCCGATACGCCACAAATTGCCCTATAAAACTTAGTATCCTAGTTCATGATAGATCAAAAAATCTAGCGGAGTTCTTTAACTTATTTGATTGAATAATATTTGAATATATAGAAGGAACAATCATCAATGACAATACGACAACGAACAAAAGGTTTGTCACTGGTTTTTTTTAAAATTATTTTTCATTCATTTTTTTTTTTTATTATATTTGTTTTTAGTAAAAGCTGATCACTCAAATAATTTTATTCAACAACAAGATTCTAATACAAGAAAAACAATAAAACAAGAAGTAAATGAACAAAAAAAAATAAATAAATCAGTTCTTAATTCTTTTTTCATTCATTTCAAAGAAAGATTCCTCGTTGGATAATATCACTTTAATCATGCTGGATGCTGATTATTTGCCAGAATTTCAAATTCGAACACCTACTCAACAAGCAGAATCGGTTTGTACTTTGATCCAAATAATAAAAGCTTCATCTTTCATTTTTTTTCCGTGTTTTTCAATATAGTACATTGAATTCAATAATAAATTCGAATTTCAAATAGGCCCAAATGTACAATATCTTAATATCTGCTTATGGTGTAAACCATCACTCGATTCTAACATACCATATGCTGACAAGAAACTTATATTACTCGGTTATGTAAGTAAATAATCTTCAAATACAGAAAAAATTTCTTTGAAAATCGAATTTATATTCATTCGTTTTCTGTGTAATAGAAAGTCATGTCGTAATGAAAATGTTTCATTTGATTCTTGCAAAATTAAAATATGAAAAGTTAAGCGGATAGTTTAATTCTTCGAGAGTAATTGTTTGACTATGATAGTTAGGGATTTCTAAATTGGTATGATTATTATTATCATCGAATGCTGATTAGTCAATAAATTTAGACTTCTTTTCTTGAATGGTTCATGACATATACACGTTCCATTACATTTACTATAAAATGCTAATAATTCATGATTCAAGAGATATGAAGAATTTTTCCTTTGACCAAAGTGTAATTCTAACTGTTCTTTATCTATAATATGAATTTGAAGTTTTAACTTTTAATAATTTCTGAAATACAAATATTTTATTATCGAAGCTTAATTTTGAAGTTTGAAAGTTTCGTCCAAAAAAAAATTCATAACTCAGTCGAAAGATATTATTCTTATTTAAAAATTGCATCAGATATTTTAAAATATCTTTAAATAATTCGCATTAAGTATAAGGATTAACTAATATATAGTTCAAGATATTTATTGAAAATAATCATCTATTGATAGATCAAGGTGAAGGAACTAAAATTCGTTTATTCTACCATATCTTCTTTGATGAATGTTCGTCATCATCATATAAAAATCTACTAGTGAAAATATCCGTAAATGAAGCAGTGTCAAGAAGGTTTCACCTTTACCCTAACTTCAAGTCTGAAAACATTTCTATTGCGTCTTTTCTTACTTTCTATATGCTTGCATAAAAGTGCATATGGGTGTACATAATGCATGTAGTTCTGATTCAAAAGCCATTAATCATTCATGATCGATCTACTTTTCTTAAATCATTCTTGACAAAAAAGAAAATTAGCCTGTAATATGTATGAATTTATTGTATGGATTTTAAGTTATACTTTTTTTGTTTTTAGGCTAGTGTTGCTCTTTCTGAACTTATACTTGATGCTCATATGAGTTTTAAACATGAAACTGAAATGACACTCAATTTTCGACCTGCTTATATATCAAAATCTAATTTGTAAGATTATTAACTCTCTAAACTTAATTTATTAATAAAGAATTTTTTCATGTAGAAAATTTATTCGAACAAATTCTAAAAGGTATTTTATTGAATGAAATCGAATAATTCTATTTTTTATTTTTCAAATTTTATTATAGTAAAAATCTAACTGAATTAAGTACACATAGAGGTTATGATGATAATATGGCTCATGGTTTTGTTACAATTCATGTTAAACATCGACCAACTATTGAAATAAAATTAAATCAAGAAGAAAAAAAAGAATTTGTCATTGAAAAAGATGATAAACAAAAACAAGAACAATTAATATCTATTAATGAAGAACATAAATTATTTTTATCGAAGTAGAAAAAATTTATTTTAAAAAGAAAAAAATATATATTTACAATTATTTCTTTTATTTTTAGTTCTACAACTAATCATTTATTTGAAGATCATACATTTAATGTTGAAACATTTTGTACTTATTGTAATAAAAAAATTTGGTCAAAAACTGGTCGTCAATGTCGAAATTGTTCAATGATAATACATAAAAAATGTGAAGATAAATTAAATCATGAATATATTTGTACACATGAATCTATTGATTTAAAATCTAATGAATTTGATAATTATTCGATTATATCAACTGATAATATTGATTCAATTTCAAATATAAATCAAACAACGACAATAACAACATCTCATTTTCCAGCAACAAAAGAAACTACTGCTGTTGCTGCTGCTGCTGCATTTTCTATATCTGATTTAATACCAAGTCTACCATTTCGTTCATTAAGAAATAAAAATTTTAGTTCAATACCAACAGTAACTTTATCAAATGAAAAATTAGATAATAATTCATCATCAACTACAGAACAACGACTTATAAAAAATCCTCCAATTCAATCATCTTGGAAATTAATTAATGCTGTTTCATTAGCGTATAGTAAATTACTTGCACTTAAAACAAAACGAATACATCTTGAATTAACATTTGAAACAAAAAAGAAACGATCATTATCTGATTTGGGTATTTATTTTTCATAGTTTATTTTTTTATTAAAATTCAATCATTATTTGTTTTTTCTTTTCTTAGCTGTACATGAAAACATTTCCGAAGATGATCTGCAAGATATTATAACAGTATATAAGAGAAATATTCATTTTTAAAAAAAAATAACAATCATATTTTTCATTTTCAGACATGTTTGTCAAATGAAACAATCAATATAAAAAGTTTTGAATATTTACTTCATGAAAAAGCTGTTGATCATACAACACTTTATGCAAAAGCTAATCAATTTGGAGCTGAATTATTTCCAGACTTAACAATTGAAGAACGAAAACAAAAATTTGAGATTGAAGTTAGTTTATTAATTATTTTCGAAAATTTAGATTTGAAGTTTCTTTATTTTTATTTTTATTTTTATTTTAATCTTCTTCAGATTTCTCGATTACAACAAGAAATTGATTTACAAGATCGAATACGTGATGAAATGATTATTGAATATAATAGTGAGTTATCGGATGAAAATACTAAAAGAAAAATTCAATTAAGAATTGCTAATGTTGATGAAAAAGTACAAGCACTTGGTAAGTTATTGATATTAAATTATGAAAGAAAGAATAAATTTTCTTTCTTTTTATAGCTGCATTGACGATTCTTTATTGTTCTGGTAAATATATTAATATTTTATTTTCAAAAAATGTTCTTTTCTTTTTTTTTTGAAAATAATTATTATTTAAGGTCTTAGACATTGTTATTCTCAATTGTAAACAAAACATATAATAATTCTACGATATATAATAAAATATAAATATGTTAATTCAAAACAATCAATTATTTAATAGTGATAATGAACAATGATAATTTCAATTTATTTTTATCGTCAATATTATTCGATATTTGCTCAAAACGAACAAAATAAAGTTTTAAATAATACAGTGTGATAGACTTAATGTAATAAGCGGCAATATGTTATTTTGTATTTTATACAATTGAAGTCTGTAAATTTCTTTTGTATTGATAGTTTGTTTTGTTGTAATAGTTTAATCTAAACTTGTTAATTGTGTAACTCACATTTTATTTATTTATTTTTATTTATATTACTAAAATTGACAATTTAGCTTTTTAATACCGGTTTTTTTCATTTAATTCTTTTATGTTCAAACATGATACTCTAAATTTTGCTTTTTTTAAAAACTGTAATCAATTATGCATTTTGATAAGCAATTTATCACAAATTTTTAACTTTAAGTCATTTCTAAACACAGTGATAAAAATAAATAACTTGCTAAATGGCTTTGTGTTTTTTTTCTTCAGATGACTGATATTCAACAAGGAATTCTAACATCCGATGGAACTGATGTCCAAGTTGAACAAGCTCGAAAACAAATTCATGATTGGCTTAATAAACCAATGCGTGTTTCAATAATTGATGGACGTGTTCTTGTTGGTGTATTACTTTGTACGGATCGTGATCAAAATCTTATCTTAGGTAATTGTAATGAATATATTGGTTCACCAAGTGAACAAGAAGAATTTCGTGTACTTGGTCTTGCACTTATACCTGGTCAACATATTCAATCAATTTATATTGATGAAAATTCTTCATCAATAACACATCATTCAAATTCATCAAATATATCAATAACAAAAACAAATGATCATATTTTAGATGATGATAAAAGTGATTGTTAATTCCTCTTGTTTTTTTTTAAATATTTTGATAGACTGTTTTTTTTTTGTCCTTGTATGTATTTGATTTGTTTCCCTTTCTTTTATTCTTCAGATGTCTTGTCAAAAAGGTAATATTAGTAGAAAACGTACACAAAAATATCAAAATGCAACAACATTTAAAAATAATTTATATGATACAAGTAAATCAACAAAAGACATTAATTCAATTGAACATAAAGGTGTATGTGAACATTGTAAACAAGTACTTGAATGGAGAGTACATTTTAGAAAATATAAACCATTAACACAACCAAAAAAATGGTAAAAATTATTTGAATTTTGTGAAACACGATCTAAAAGGAGTGTTGAGGTATATAGGGTAGAAATTTGGATCCACTCTCACCACAAACGCCTCGAGGACCATCACGGGAAGGAGGAACACCTCTGCCTTACAGCTATTTTGCAGTATAAAGTACTACCTAGCGACAGATTCATTAGCCTGATATGTTTCGTACAACTAGTAATAGGTGTAGTTCTGAAAAGAAGCCAACATGATGCAGAGTTCTTGCGTTTCCTATGCACACTGACTAACCATATACTAGCTACGAAGGCAAGTATATATCACAACTTAGTCAGCATGCTATTAGGACGGTTAATCCGAAATAATCGATCGTTAGTGACTCGTCCAGAGTCATTCCATCGGTGATGGTACTGAAGTTTAAACGTAGTACATATTGGATGCGCACCGAACAACGCACCCAATCAGCCATGTCAGTTGGGAACCATCACACACCGTGACAGACGCCTTAGCAACGCCTCGCTCCTGAAATGGCTCTCTTATTGCATGTCTGAAGGATTAAGTAAAAAGATGGTGAAGACATGTATCCCAAAATAGATAGAAAAAAAGCAATCTTTCTATGATTAGCAAGAGCAACTATATCATGTTTCACGTTTTAATCTCAAAGGAATTGCGCTAACAGTGTTTTTATTGCATATTATAATGTATTTTCTATTTTTAGTGTTCGTTGTCATCAAAAAAATGTTATTCGTGCTTATTACATCATTTGTGATGATTGTGGTGCTAAAGATAATCTTTGTTGTAAATGTGGACAAAGTCAAGACACACCTATTCAGTAAAATAATGATTTTATTATATAAACATGCGATAATATCTTTTTTTTTTGTTTTTTGTTTTAGACGACCTGTTCCTGCTGTTGAAGAAGAACGTGAACAAGCTGAATTTGAAATTGATATTAAACTACTTCGAGAGAGACAACGACGTATGTTTATTTGAATATTTCATTAAAAAAACCAAAACAAAAAGAAACGAACAATTCTCATTTTTCTTTGTCTAGGTAAATTCTATCGACTAATGAAACAAGGAATGTCTGGTGAAGAAGCTCGTGCACAACTTAATGTTTCTTCGAATAAAAAATCGAACAATGATGATGATAATGATGATGATGATGATGACGATGAGAACTACATTGATGACGATTCCGATATTGATGAAGATAAATTGACTTGAAACGCAAAAGAAAAACAAGTATATACACGTTGTTGTTGTTACTTTTTTTTTTATGAAATAAAAAGGTCATCAAATAAAGAATTAAAATATTGTATGAATATAGACCAAAGTAAATGAATATGTAATGAAGGTTCTTTTTCACGTAATAATGGTAAATAATCAAGTATTATTTGGACATTTTTCTCTTGATATCGATAAAGACAATCGAGTGTTAATGGACGATGTGATTTTATTGCTATAATGGAATCTAATTGTTTTTTATATATTTTAGTACCGTATGATAATTGTTCAATGACATGTTCATGTGTATCAATTATTGTTTGAGTTAAATTTATTTTTAATGAATGATAATATTGTAAAAAATTCATTTGAAATTGAATTAAATAAATTAAATGATAGAGATATAATGATGATTTTGGTAGAATATAAATTGAATAATTTTTTAAATCTAAATAAGTCATTTTAATAGATATTAAATTTATTAATATTATTGAAATATTTTCATTATAGAGATTATAATTTGAATTAAAATAATGAGGAATAGATTTTGTTTCAAGACAATTTAAAAGATAATCAATAAAATGATGTACATGACTAAATAAATCACTGGTTATAAATGAATCAGAAGAATATCGTTCAAAGAAATAAAAGATTGTATGTTTAAAAATTACAAATGGAAATTGTCCTTGTGTTTTACAATTTAAATAATTCCATAAAATCGATGCAAAACGTATATGTCCATCAGACATAGTATGTACAAGTTGTGCTTCGATTGCTGAATATATATAAGACCAAGATGAATTTGATGGTGATAAAAGTATTTTTTCACATGTAAAACATTTATCATTTGTAAATATTTCTTGTTCATTATCATTGAATCGAATAAAACATGTATTATGAAATAAATTTTCAATATTCAATGGCCAAAAACGTTTTCGTTGTTCATAAATTGAACGTATTTCTTGTGGCCAGGATTGAATATGTAAGACAAAATAAAATGATGTATAATCAACATCAAGATCATATGAATAATTTAATTTTGAACAATTAATAATTGTTTGTTGAATTTGATTTGAATGTTTTTGTGAAATATATCCAAATATATGATTATTATTAATTTCATTAAAACATATTTGTACTAAATTATATGTTGTATTAGCAAGTAAATATGAATGTAAATAATTATTTAATTTCGAACCAGAAAGTACTAATGAACAATTATCACAAGATGATAATATTCGTGGTACATCCTTAGTATTATATGTTATTGATTTAAGTTCATTCCAACGACTATATTTTGTTATATAAACAAGTTTTTTATCTTCATCAAATATTAGTGATGGTGTATCGAATTTTTTTAAATCTCTAGAAAATATTAAATTAATTTTATAATCAAGTAGGAAGATTTCCTTACTTCAAATTTATACATTCAAATTGTTTATGTTCAATTAGTATAGTTTTTGTCCGTCGATGAATTCGAATAAATTCTTGTTGTACAATATCATCAATAACAGAACTAAGTGTTTTACAATTATGAGAAATAGTATTTTGATGAAATTCACTTAAAAATAAATCATTTTTGCAATGTGAAAATGATACTGGTAATATAGTTGAGAATATTTCATTTGTAGATTGATTATCAAAATAGATTTGTTCATTGTAAGATAAAGAATGAAATCTATTAGAATTTGTTAATTGATATGATAATAGAATAGGATTAATTTCAGTTGATGAACATGATGATGAAAGAATAAGCCGATCTTGAGAAGAAAATGATGTTGTATTACAAGAAAGTGATGAAAATGAAGAATCAGAAAGTGTTGGTGAAGGTGATGTACCAACGGATTCTTAAATAATTATATAAATAAATAAATAAATTTAATCAGAAAAATGTTATTTGATTTACCTAATATTATTTCTTGCGTAAAGGTCTGAACTTCCTCCTTATTATTATTGATTTCTGTTTCTTCACTAGATACATATTCCATTGTTGTATCTTGTTCATTTTGTATCAATGTAATTGGATATGCTATATTAGTCTCACTAAAATCTATCACATTATTGTTCGATTTAAATTTTTTACATTGAATTGATAATTGAACAGGCGATAATGTTGGTAATGTATCTGAACATAATAATTGTTCATTTGATAATGTTGTTAAAGATGAAGAATATTGAATGATTTGTTTTTCACTTTCATCGTTATTATTAAATAAAATATTAGATTCTTTTACATTAGATAAACGACAGAATCGATTATTAGTTTGCTTCAATGATAATGGTAAAGTTGATTTTATATTTAGTTGATTATTACGATGTAATTTGCTATTAGAAACTATTTTTGAAGAATTATGTTTGCGATGTTTATTTTGTACATCAGATTTTTTACCAATACAATTACCCATAATAGAAAAGATTTCAACTAACTAAAAGAAAAACAAAAATAGAATGAATGAAATATAAAGTCTTGACAATATTTCAATTGTCAAACTTGAAGCCATACTATATCATTGAAGCGAAATTTATATTGATATATATATATATATATATCTAAGCTTTCGAGTGTCTCCTACATGTATATATAAAAATTATGATTTCTTTCTCTTTCTCTTTTATTTGAACTAACAATAGTATAGTTCGTGCTTGTTCATTGTCCTTCATCCTCTTACCTATTACTATTCGAGTAAAACTTATTGTTATTGTTTTAGAGGTGAAATATTCATCAACTAGAGACGAGAATGCGTGTTCATGCACATTCATATACATGAGTGTTCTGTTCTCTCTCTTTTATCTCGTCTTCTTTTTTATATTTGTCATCAAAACGTCATAGAAAATGTCCAAGATGGTTCGATTAAAGACAAATAAATTGTCATAGTAGCAATGTATTGATAACCTTCGGTCAAGAGGAAATACAAAAAAAAAAAGCTTCCTTCTTTCCAATGACATATTATTTTGTTATGACAGATAAAAATATAGGAATATCATGCTACATAGATATATACATATGGATAGAAATAATAGAAAACTAATTTAGTTATGTTCATATATAAAAAGAAAAGTAGCAATCCATATTATTATATATTAACCAATAGATTTTCTTACATATAATGAATAAATAAATTTTCATTATACATACATATTGTTTAATAGAAAAACAAATTGCATGGTCAAAAGGTTTCTTTTTTAGGATAGAAAATGATTATTACATCAAAGAAGCACAAATAAACTTATGTGCATACATACTGTGCAAACGTTGCATGTAGCTCGAAGTGATTCTTATAAGTAAATTCTGAGTATAAACACTTATTGTCCTTACTTCTTTTCTTTTCTTATGTCACAATTGGTCCCAAGAACAAGAATATGTAGCACCTGCTCATTGATATTCAAGAAAAAAAAGAAGAGAAGAGAAAAAAAATTTAACTCCATAAAAATATGCCTAGAAGCGGATTGTTAACAATGAATAACGATAAAATGAAATGTTTTTTTTTTTTTATTGCAATAGTAAAAGAAAATTAAATATTGCAATATATATATCTGATTTCATGCTCATATTTTAATAGAATAAAAGAAAGAAAAAAAAGAAAGAAGAAAAGAAAAGGTGACAAAATGAAATAATTTAGTTACTTCAGACAACTATCAATAAATGAACTGACCTCGAGATAATGTAATGACATTCATATCAATACTTCTTTTCATTTTTATTGAAGGCGATTCTCCTCCTTCTTCCTTTTTTCTCTCTTTATATAAAGCATCTGTCAACATGCTTCAATCATTTTCTTTTTTTCTTTTTTTTGACAAAAGTCCCTATTCCAATATTCGTCTGCCATTAACTATTAAAAAAACTGATTCTTTTAATGTCATGTCATTATTTGTTTCATACTTAAATACTACTCTTTAAAATGCATATATGCATATATAATATGAGATTATTGTTCCTACATACTTAATACCAATTCGTCCTAGAGATAAGGTTTAATCATTACATATTTATTTATGATATGATGATGTTTTACATATGAGAAATGAGAAAAGCAAGACAAACCTTGTATAAATGGCTAATGGCATCGAAGAAATTACATCAATCGTCATTACATACTGAACCTGTATATGTCTGTCAGTTTCGGTTGAATTGAAAAGATCATGTCAACATGTACCATTTGGTCAACCAGATGAATATTGATAATGATTATACAACGTATAATGAAGATGTTTACATATACATTCTATGAATACGTATATGTTCTATATATGCATGAATAACGAACTACATCCACCTGGTCACTCTCTTTTATTTTTATGTAAAGTCGATGAAGAGAAAAAAAAGAAATTATTACATCATCATATGATTCTATTCTATTACTGTACGAAAGCAAAAGTTACGGAGACAGACAGACAGACAGACAGATAAAAAAAATTCAAATAGGAATTCAAGCTGTTACTTTTTGTCATACGAATAAATAAAACTTAAACCATTAGTCAATGTAATCAATCTTACGAATAACTGATGCGAAACGATAGACATTCTCTTAAGTAATTAAGAACAACATTACGATTAAAAAAAGAAAAAGAAAAGTCATAACGTTGGTGTAATTATACGACTTACTTATTTGTCATAATAATATGAATACATTCAGATTTCAATAAGGAGAAAAAAAAAGAAAAGCTTTGCTTGCTCTTTATCATTTGTATGTTAGACTTGAATAGATTAATAGCTGTACGATGACAATCGTGATCAAAAGACTATATGTGATTGTTACTTGACAGTTATGATATATGACACTGATTTTTTCTTGTCTGATCACATTCATCAAAAGTTCAAAAAGATCGTCTACCTTTGGTATGAGGTTGAAATTGTTTATATGAACGTATATGTATAACATTGCATACTTTTATCAAGAACATATATCTATGTAAATAATTATCTTGAACTTCATAGAACGGATTGCAATGAAATCAAGATCTATTTCTTTATTCGAAAAAAAAAACTGATGTTTAGATTAATCAGAAAAATTTTAATATAAAAGAAAGAATTCTAAATGACTATAGTATTCAAACAAGAATGTTAATATCATTACGTCTTATTCGTACATTTTTGACATTGACAATGAACTTATTAATTAGTCTATCAAATGTATCCACAAAAATTTTTGTTGAGTACAAAAAAAAAAGAGTAAATGCAAAAGAGAGAATTGATTTAGAAACCACATGACAATGCCAAAAAGTAGTAGATCAAATAAATCAATTCTGGATGACTTCTGTTAGATTTCATATATATATATTCTCTCTCTCTGAGAAACAATCTGAGATCTATTGATGAGTTTCTAAATAATCCTGAATTGGATTATAAATAAATTGAATTAGAATAACTATTAATAGTGTCGTAAGCAGAAGATTGTGGATAGTAGGATAATGCCCTATGATCTCGGAGAAAATCCATTTAAAATAGTGTCAATGATGGTAATTATTACGTTTTTTCTTTCTTCTGATGGTAGGACGGCGTCTAGTCTAACCCATCCTTAGCTACGCCATCAATCATTAGTAAACATGTTTTACAGAGATATTTTGAATAGATAAACTTTTGGATTAATATTGAGTGAATTTTTTTTATAAATATTTTCTTATAGATATGAAATAGAACAGTGAAGCTAGAAGGTTTTTTTCGATTTCGTTGAAAGTGTATATTAATTCACTTTCTTCTATCGCTTTTCATTAGTATTTATCTAATTAATTTGTCATATATAAAAATTTATTAGTTAATGATGATGATTTGCATGACCAAAAAAATGTGTTAAACTAATCTACTGTTCAAATAGTACGTGAACAATTTATTGAAACTGATGAAAAAAAAATCAATTGTTCATGACAATACTTCAACCGGTACTTTCAATCTATTTATTTTAGTTTATTTCATTTGCTTATTTTGAATTAGGATTAGGTGAAGATGGTATAGATATTGAACTCAGTACTTCAAAACGAAATAGTCCAGATTTCCAACGACCCTATCAAGAAAAGGAATTTAATGCTTTTATATCAGATAATATTCTACTTGATTGTTCACTCCGAGATATTCGTCATCTTGAATAAATCATTTTATTTATTAACTCATAATATATTTTTATTTTTTTGTTTATGCAATTGTAAAAACAAACTTATTGAGTTGAATTACCTGCTACAAATTTTGATTTATCATTAATTTTTCAATGAATTTATTCTATTCATAATAGATTAGTATAATTATACTTATTCGTGATGAATATTTGACAATATTACTTCGATCAGTTCATAATATATATGAAATCGAACACCAGCAAAACTTCTTGAAGAAATTATACTTATTGATAATGCTAGTAGGAAAAGTAATAAAAATTTTATCTAGAATAAATCGTTGTTAGATGAATTTTTTTTCTTATTTCAAGAAGATTTAAAATCTTTACTTGATGTTTATAATACTAATCTAATAAAAACTCGAATAATTCGTCTTCAAAAACATGAAGGTCTTATTCATACACGATTAGTTGGTGTATATGAAGCTACAGCTGATTTTCTTATTTTCTTTTAGCAATCTAGTAATGGCTGGTGGCCTATTTGCAATAAGTAAAAAATGATTTTGAGAATTAGGTGGTCATGATGAACGTCTTGATCTATGGAATAGTGAACGATATGAAATATCATTTAAAATTTAGCAATGAAATAGATTTCTTATCGATGTACTTTGTTCAAGAGTTGGACATATTTATCAACTACTTAATCCACATAATAGTTTTGTTTCTGATGATTATTGTCGCGAATATATAAATATAAAACTTCATAGTTTATTCTTTGGATTTTTTTGTAGAATCATAAAAGAATAGTTGTAATTTGAATGGATAAGTATGTCGAATATATTTACAAACGAAATTCATGCATACTGTAATATTTTCTTTTAGGTTTTGTTAATTTGTTTATTGTCTATTTGTCGAAACACAAATCCGGATTCAAATAAGCAAAGAGTTCGTACCCTTAACTTATTTCTGTGTAGATATTGCACTTCTATGGTATATTTTAAATGAATGCCATGACCTCTCACAGAAACATTAGGAAAACCGATTTTAAAATTTCGACTTGAAACTTTGTATAGAGACAGATCGTAACAAGAGTAATTTTAAAGTATTTTGATTTCCTTCTATCTTGAAATATGAGCATCAAATCTGCTGATTTATATGATCAATGTAAAAGAAAGGCTATTACCATAATTGTATCTTAGGATAGGAACAGCGAGAAGATCTGAAACATTCACAATAAACTATTCTCATTAAGATCTATTTCAAGTTGAAATTCAGAAATCAGTGTTCCTGAGAATGACCACGATATTCATTTAAAAACTGCCACAATGGTGCAGTATCTTCGTAGTAATAAGCTAAGAGTACCAATTCCTTTCGGGATATTCATGGCTAATTTGTGTCTACATAATGCACTTAGTCTCAACTCAAAAGCGATTTATAAGCTTGAGGACTTCCCTCATTAGCATTTCACTTTCGTATTAATTTGTAAGAAAAATTTGAATATGTTTCTCAAAAATGTATCGTTTGATTTGATTCAACATTGTTCACCAATCAATTCCTTTACATCTACAGTATTCGAGTTTTCAGAAAGTTGAATTAAGGTGGTATTTATATATTCAACCGAAAGGTGGTGAATTTTATTTTGATGTATCTCAAAGAAGAAACAGATACTGGTTATACTTTTTTATTTCATTATATAGGTAGGCAGTGGCGGATCCAGTGTTCGGCGAACCGGCGACCGCCGCCGCCGCCTCCTCGCGAATTCTTTTCCAGCAGAAGTGCAAAAAAAACAGAGTTGTACTGGCTCGAATAGGCTTCGAAAATCGTTATTTGACTATGACCATCGCCCCTTCCGGCAAACCGTTACTCCCTCACTGATTTTCTGGATCCACCCCTGTAGGTATGCGTGGTAATCAACATTTTGTTTATGATATAAATAGTTTTCATATTCTACATCTTGCAAGAAATTCATGCTTCAATAGTGATTTAAATAAAAAATGATTTTTATGAAACAATGCGATTCAAGAAGTAAAATTCAACAACGGGAATCTTTTTCAATACAATCATACATTAATTCTTAAAGAAATGAAACAACTTTTTTAATAACAGAAATGTTTTTCAAAGCTTTTTTTTAGTTTTTTTTTGTGAAATTGAAATTTAATATATTATGGTGAACAACCAGAGATAGGCAAGTCAGCGATTTTTATGATTACCTAAAAGGTATTCACAAATACAATTCCTAAGCAAATACAATTAATGATTGACAGTGCCCTGTCGATTTCAATCATATAGTAATAGATATTTAATCAGTATTGTGCGTTATTTATTCGTGGAAATATATTAACCAAAGATGTTTTCTGTTTCTACAGATTGATTTTTCATTTTGGAAAATCTTTTACCCGACTGTATAACTAGTACTCAAGTCACATAATTACAATCGTAAATGGCAGTATTTCACGGCGCAGTATTATGATCGGTAACAACTGTGAATAGTACGATAAAATGCGGTTGCAATATTGCGTCTACCAAACGTTAATTTACAACTGCAAACTGCATGCAACGATAGTATACAATACCATTTCTAGCAGCCTCGACAACTGAAATGATCATTCTGCGTATTTTTTTTATAAGTTATAAAAGTGTTTAATATTCAAAACAAATGACAAATTTCTTCTAACATCGATTTTGTCACATTCAAATTATTCTTTATGCCATTACTAATAATTCAAACATATGTGGAATTAGAACCTTTTTTGAAAATGCATTGAAAAATCATTGCTATATCAGTGTATAAATTATGTTGAATGATTTAACATCAAATGCAAACAACTGTCTTGTTTGAAAATAAGTCATATAGAAATTCATTACTAAACAAATGAACAACAAAAAATGTTCGTATCATTTTCCTTTCAAACCATAAAAATTCATAGATACATTCCTATTATCGTTATAAATGAAAATTCCATCAGTTAATGGAAACAATTATATAACTTCAATGGATTGAATATATCTTTCTTATCAAGATCGAGCTTTTCTAATTAAAACAAATTCTTTTTTAAAGAAAAATATTTCAGAATAAACTATGATTAATGTTTATTTTCTAATAATAATTCGAAAATATCGAATAGAATTTGTTTTTCTTTTAATACTTATCTATCAAGTCACAACGATTGACTCTTCTAGAATCTAAATAGACAATCATATCATTGAATTTAAATCATAATTATATCTAATGATAGTAATCAAATAGATAACAATGCCATGTTGAGAACATCTCTATTCATTATCATACAAAACAAAAATCAATTGATAAACATAATTGATTTCATTGTTTATTGAATTTTAATTGCCAAAGAAAAATTTGATTTTCACTACCGTTTTTAGTCCAGAACAGAAAAAATTCGATTTTTTTTCTCTACAAAAGATTCATTCATGCATAAAAACTACACTTCTAACCAATCATCTTGACAAAACAAATGTGCCACTTGTTTCTTCCTCTGAGTATATATATATATACACAAAACATATCTTGAGTGGAAACTTAATCTATTAAACGCCGCCTACTATTCAATTGCTTCCGGCTGTCTGGTCGCGCTTATGCACACGCTTTCAGCTTCATCGATCGATTGAGGTATATATTCTATTTCTAACTGTCTTTTATATCGATCCTAACATGACAACATCCATCTGTCAACGAGTAGTAATACATATAGAAATGATCGGTACTCGTTCGCATTTTTTTTTT